GTGAGGGACTGTTAGTGCAGTGCACAACACAACACAGCTGTGCTTCTTTGAGGTGTTTACCAAGTGACCCAAAGAGTGACTTCCACATAGGAGGGTTAAATACAATGTAGCAAATTAGGGATTTGAAAGGGGGCTACTATTATTACTGACTACTGGATACAGCCAAGCAAGACTTTTTGGTCATGCTCTTCCTATATGTACATGTACCCTCTGAGGCCCCACACAGGTGACGATCATTTTCTTGAAAAAATACAGAGAACTTTGTCGGTACATGTACTAGTACTGTGCATGTACGTTAGAAAATTCAGGGGTCACTGAAAACAATGACGCATAAAACATGGGGCAGAGCTTTTGCTATAATTGAAAGGACATGGATCATCACTAATGTGGATTTTCCCCAAATACATGTATCTACAGATAGGTACATGTATATGGCAGGTTCCTCAAAATATAGACCATTAGATAATGTTCAATTTTGGGGGTTCATTTTTCCTAAAGTGAACAGCAGTGAATTAATTTCCAATGTCTGATGTAATGAGGGAAGTCATGGCTGATGTCTGGAACAATGATGACTGTGTCAACCTTTCAACTTAATTGGAGTTAATTAATTAAAGTCTCAAACGTTAGCAATTTTGAGGGACATGAACTCCCTGTTAAAATCCGAGCAAACAGCATTTACTGAGGAGTGATAATCCTCAAGGTTATTTTACACAGATTTATATGTGGTGAAAGGGGATGATATTTACACATATTAAAACCATATCATGAAATTAAAAAGTACAGTACCTCTCACAATTAATCGGGTTCCGAAATAACCGGAAAAATGAAAATCCCACATGGAATTTTCGAGCACTACATGTGACAGCATTTTGGCATTCTGGAACGTTGTGCAGTTTCTGTCAAAATTATTGAACGTGATCAAAATTCTTTCAAATATGACGTTCGCAACGACATATTGTACTCATTATAAATTTTGGATGCAGCCAAACTTAAAGATAATTTTTCGTGGTCGAAATATACAAGACCTGGCAAATATGTTGGTATAGTGAGAGTGATTATAAACGGTAAGAGAATGAAGAGAGCCAAGCTTTTCTCATCATTTTCCGTCAATTTTGTACTCTTTTTTTTGTGGCTTACATTTTTTAAAAGTTATTTCTTAGGTCCTTTAAATACATCAGTCAAAAAATATAGTGAATTCTCCTTCTTGTTGAGAGAAGTTTAGAAATCAAGTCCTCTAGTGTAAACACTTTGACGTAAAAATTTAAATGAATACATCTCCATTTGATTTGCACTGGTAGCCAACCAAATGTCCACCAGAAGTACATATTATGCCTAATTATCCCCATATAATCATTTTTTATAAATCTGAAGGTGCTAATTTGTATTTTACATGATCAAAGTCATTCTTTTAGAAGTTTTGAAAAATGACAGCCGAAATTGCATTTTGGTCCATTTTATGATGCCAAATCATCTATCAGTGTTTGTAGACAGGCCGCTTTGCTTCGTGCGTTACATGNATGATGCACATGAAACAGTGAGGCACAGTTGTTGGGCAGCACAAAAGTGCAATCTGATATTCCTGTGAGGGTCTGTTGGTGCAGTGCACAACACAGCTGTGCTTCTTTGAGGTGTTTACCAAGTGACCCAAAGAGTGACTTCCACATAGGACGGTTAAATACAATGTAGCAAATTAGGGATTTGAAAGGGGGCTACTATTATTACTGACTACTGGATACAGCCAAGCAAGACTTTTTGGTCATTCTCTTCAAGTACATGTTCCCTCTGAGGCCTCAAACGTCATGTGACGATCATTTTCTTGAAAAATTACAGAGAACTTTGTCGGTACATGTACGAATACTGTACATGTACGATAGAAAATTCAGGGGTCACTGAAAACAATGACGCATAAAACATGGGGCAGAGCTTTTGCTATAATTGAAAGGACATGGATCATCACTAATGTGGATTTTCCCCAAATACATGTATCTACAGATATGTACATGTATATGGGGTTCATTTTTCCTGAAGTGAACAGCAGTGAATTAATTTCCAATGTTTGATGTAATGAGGGAAGTCATGGCTGATATCTGGAACAATGATGACCGTGTCAACCTTTCAACTTAATTGGAGTTACATGTAATTAATTAAAGTCTCAAACGTTAGCAATTTTGAGGGACATGAACTCCCTGTTGAAATCCGAGCAAACAGAATTGACTGAGGAGTGATAATCCCTGAGGTTATTTTACACAGATTTATATGTGGTGAAAGGTGTTAATATTTACACATATTAAAACCATATCATGAAATTAAAAAGTACCTCTCACAATTAATCTGGTTCCGAAATAATCGGCAAAATGGAAATCCAACATGGAATTTTTGAGCACTACATGTGACAGCATTTTTGGCATTCTCGAACATTATGCAGTTTCTGTCAAAATTATCAAACGTGATCAAAATTCTGTCAAATATGACGTTCGCAACGAACATATTGTACTCATAAATTTTTGATGCAGCCAAACTTAAAGATAAATTTTGGTGGTCGAAATATACAAGACCTGGCAAAAATGTTGGTATACTGAGAGTGATTATAAACGGTAAGAGAATGAAGAGAGACAAACTTTTCTCATCATTTTCCGTCAATTTTGTGCTCCTTTTTTTGTGGCTTACATTTTTTAAAAGTTATTTCTTAGGTGCTTTCAATACATCAGTCAAAAAATATACTGAATTCTCCTTCTTGTTGAGAGAAGTTTAGAAATCAAGTCCTCTAGTGTAAACACTTTGACGTAAAAATTTAAATGAATACATCTCCATTTGATTTGCACTGGTAGCCAACCAAATGTCCACCAGAAGTACATATTATGCCTAACTATCCCCATATAATCATTTTTTATAAATCTGAAGGTGCTAATTTGTATTTTACATGATCAAAGTCACTCTTTAGAAGTTTTGAAAAATGACAGCCGAAATTGCATTTTGGTCCATTTTATGATGCCAAATCATCTATCAGTGTTTGTAGACAGGCCGCTTTGCTTCGTGCAT